AATATCAGCATCACCACAGACATGTGAGGTGTACAGGGTTTATAAAGTCTACAATAGTGTACAGTAATGTCATAGACACAATCATAAAACATGATTGTGTACTTTTTCAATTCCATTATAATCATCATATTTGCCATCCATTGTTGGCTGAAAAGTCATAATGCAGCATGTGACTGTCTAAGTTTTAGCATATTCTTAACCGCATGTTGAAAGGTACTGGAGTTAGAATTCCTTTCTGCCCAGACTAAGTGCTAGGGTTAGTTTCACAGGAAGGAGTTTATTCTGGGAATGCATATATCCAAAGGCAACAAGAGCTGCAAATGTTTTTCATGTGTGTTTGTTGCTAGAAAGAGAGCTTTCAATGGACTTCAGTGATATGGTTTGACATAACACTAGTGACAATCTAGAACAATCATCCACTTGCTTATGCTATGTTAAAGAAATCTGTGGTCCATGAATCTGGGCTGTGAGGAAGCTGGGCTATGAGGATGCTGAGGGCTTTTCTTCCCTCCGAAGGTGCCCGCCAAGTCACGCACTGGTTGCCCTGACATTAGTGTGAGATGTGAAGTTTGGTGGTATAGAACTGTAGGGAGTCCCATTCCTGTGTGTTCAATGGCAGTGACACCTGCTGAGTGCAGCTTTTGTGCTCTCCGTACAACCCTGGCAAACTGAATGATAGTACCTGGGTTAATACCTCTGTGAGCCCTGGGTTTGTGCACAAAGCATTTACAAGTTTCCCTAGTGAAAAGGTCGTCTCCTCACCATTATTCAGCTGGTTAGCTTTTCTGCCTTTATGTTTTCCCATGTGGACAGGCATTGGGGAAGGCGGGGGAGCACATTGCTGAAGCCCCTCTCTGGACACGTGCCCATCTCCACTGGGGACAGGTCTTATATTAGCTCTCTGAGCATAAAAATTCTGTCTGATTGCTTCATCTGCTATGTGTCTATGGGGACCCACAAGAGATGCGGGATCCGGTTAGTCTCTCGCGAATCAATCGTTGCCTTGGCCGGACGGGGACATGTTGCCTTCTGCACCCCCTCTTCGCACTCTCTTTCATTTCCCCTCTTAGCGCTCGCCTTTCATTTCCTGCAGCGCGCCAGCAGGATGGCCCACAGCAGATCTATTACCCAGAAAAGTACTTCGAGGAGCACTACAAGTACCGGCATGTTATGTTACCCAGAGAACTTTCCAAACAAGTACCGAAAACTCATCTGATGTCTGAAAAGGAGTGGAGGAGACTTGTGTCCAACAGCGTCTAGGCTGGGTTCATTACATGATTCATGAGCCAGAACCACATATTCTTCTCTTTAGAGGAGGTGGTGGTGGCTGCAGTGTGGAGCATGGATTGGAAGGCAGCTAAAGTCAGAAGAAAGAAGACAAGAAAGTTTACATTTGGAACTTGTTTCCCTGGTGAAGTAAGAGGTGTCCTGTTCAGGTGACAGAGCAGGGATGCAGAATGAAGTGTCATGGTGTATTAATCTGTTCTCAAGTTGCTAATAAAGACATAACTGAGACTGGATAATTTATAAAGGAAAGAGATTTAATGGACTCACAGCTCCACATGGCTGGGGAGGCCTCACAATCATGGCAGAAGGCAAAGGAGAAGCAAAGGCACATCTCACATGGCACCAGGCAAGAGAGCTTGTGCAGGGGAACTCCAGTTTATAAAACCATCAGGTCTCGTGAGACTTATTCACTATCACAAGGACAATATGGGGGAAACCACCCCCATAATTCAATTATTTCCACCTGGCTTTGCCCTTGACATGTGGGGATTATTACAATTCAAGGTGAATTTTGTGTGGGGACACAGCCAAACCATATCAAGTGGCAACACGAAAAGAATGAAGGAGAAGGAATTGGAACAGCCATTGTGAGTAGCCATAAGGAAGGTAATGGGAAAAAGAAATAGGGACCACATGCCCATTAAAATAAGACAGCTTATGTTGCTGGCCAGGTTGACATTGCTCTGTGCCTGGATCCATCAAACCTCACTGCTCTGGAGGCGAGTACAAAGAGGATGAATGTTAGAGATGAGCAGATGAACTTGCAGTTTTATGGAAAGGTAAGTGAGCTAGGAAGTCTGGGTATAACATTGTCTGGATTGACTGGGAGTAGAACACAGCGAATAAGAGCTTAAACGATACCATTTAGCTGTATTCTACTCAAACACTCACCAGATCCCCTGAAGGAGGAAAGCTCATCTCTTATACCAGTAGAACGTCCCTCCCAAGTCATGCACCTGCAAGGAAGCCAAGGCATTTTGTCTTGGGCCAGGTGTGAGCCTGGTTTGTCAGAGGATCCCAGAGGTGCTGCCGAGAGGCAGTTTTCATTTGGTGTTCAAGGAAACGTGTGGGTGAACCCACCAGATGCTGAAAGGAGAATTGAAGCCACTTTTTTTTTTGAAGCAACTATGAAGTCGCAATTTAACTGACGCAGAGAACTCTGAGATTATCAGGCAAGTCCTTGAAGGAAATCTTGCCATCCTAAAAATAAGTAAGCACAGGAAACATAAATTTTAAATGAATATGTTAAATGATTATTACTATGAAGAAGTCTTCTCTGAGCTGCATTCACAGGCAGTGGTCACAGGGTGCTGACAATAGCTTGTGAGGATAATAGGGAAGAATGTTCCTACAATTAGTCGTTATTCAGCACTTCCCCTGTGCTAACGCTGTGCTACGCATAGGGAATGTAAGCATGAATGAGACATGATTCTTGCCTTTAAAGGGCTTACAGACTATGGAAGGAAAACCATATAAAAAGATGCTTATCATTGGATGTTCTAAGTGTTATGCTACAGGGTGTCAGGGAGCACAGTAGTGAGGTACTAAACAAGCAGGAGAAGAGAGATGAGGGTTAGAGAGAAACAGGTTTTTAGGGAAGCCCCAAACCAAGGCTGGGAAAAGAATGGAAGTTAGCCCACTAAATAAAGGAGCAGCCTATGAAAAGGCCCAGACAGCAACAATAGGACATCGGAAACTTCAAACAGTTCTGTGTATCTAGAGAAGACATGCCAGGAAGAACGTAGCAAGGAGAGAGACAACAGAGGTAGTCAAATTATGAAGAAGCCTGTATGTCAAGCTATGTGATACAGATCTGATCCTGAGGGCAACGAGAAATCTTGGCTTTCTGGGGGGCAATTTGATGGAGGAAGAGAACTATCTGTGTTAGAAGTCATCTGTCTACAGTGGGGAAATTACAGCTGAGTAGAAGACAAGAATACCCAGAGAAATTGTACAATGTCAGAAGGCTGAAAGCTGAGGGTAGAAACCTGACGAACAGCAACATTTAGAATGGGTAAGCAAGAGAAGCTCAAGAATACGACTGAGAAGAAGAAATTCGAGAGGTAAAGAAAAAAAAAATCAGGTGGCTTCATGGGAAACAGGGAAGAGGGAGCTTTAAGAAGGTAGGGACACTACATTAATTGATGCTGGAGACTAGCAAGAAACTGGATATCATAAAGTTGGACACAATTTAAATTTCCATCAACAGAAAAACAGACACATTACTGTATGTTTACTGCATGTTTCTACATGTAACTCCTATACACAACAGGGAAAATAAATAAATATCTCTATATGTCAACACGGATGGACCTAGTAAAGGCAACGAAAAATAAAGTAGGAAAAGAAAATATAGAATATTATATGCTGCTTACTTACGTATGTAGCAGAAACATAAAGACATACATTGCAATGATGAATAACAAGTTCAGAACAGCAGTTATCTCAGGGTCAGTTAGAGAGTAGTAGTGATTGGGAAGGTGGTTACACAAGGCTCCTCAACAAGAATGGTAGTGTTTCACTTCTTAAGCTGGTTTATGAATATACAAGTGCTTACTATGATTTGAGCACGTAGCACATAGAAATCATTGGTGACCACATCTCCGGAATTTTAGAGGCACGTGCATGTGTGTGTGTTGGTAGTAAGTTGGAGTATCCGGAATGCAGTGGGTGGAAGAGGAATGCGATAAACACAATGTCTAAGGCTCTACCGGCGGAATATCATTGCTCTAGCAATCGGATAAAATTATCTGGATTCTTCCACTTTGCTTCCACTTAACTTTCCTGTCCCTCAGTTTCCCCTTTTGTAAAGTAGAATATAATAGTATATTCTTTGAGGAGATGTTAGGAGAATGAAATGATTTCATACTTAAACAGTGCTTAAAATAATCCCGAGAACATTATTTCAAATAAGTACTAGTTATCAGGGAGTTAGCCAACATCATCGTCAGTACAAAACAAACTGATTCACAGCAAACACAATGAAGTCCTGAATTCATGAAACACTCTTCAATTTGCCAGAAGCCGTGTGAGATATGCAGAAACTACAGAAATTAAGGCTTATTTGTAGACATTAACACAGACATAAAAGATTTAATGACCGCAGTTCACGTTCAATCAGTCGTTCCTACATCCCTTGAGAGCAATCTCTGTGCTGGCTGGACGCTGCAAACACAGACACATTCCTCAGATGTTTAGACTATTTTTTAAAACTGCGTTGTTACATCCACATTTCACTTTTTCTTCTCTTTTTTTGAGACGGAGTTTCGCTCTCGTCGCCCAGGCTGGAGTGCAATGGCGCGATCTCGGCACACTGCAGCCTCCGCCTCCCGGGTTCCAGCGATTTTCCTTCCTCAGCCTCCCGAGTAGCTGGGATTACAGGCGTCTGCCACCATGCCTGGCTAATGTTTGTATTTTCAATTGAGACGGGGTTTCGCCATGTTGGCCAGGCTGGTCTCGAACTCCTGATCTCAGGTGATCCGCCCGCCTCGGCCTCCCAAAGTGCTGGGATTACAGAGGTGGGCCACCGCACCCGACCACACATTTCACTTTTATTTGGATCGATCAGTAAACACTTTCGTAAACCCTCACACTCTCCTGACCACCATCTAGGGTCGCTGCCAGCCCGCCCGTTCTCAGGAGGCGGGGCCTGCGTGCCGACGCACAGCGAGCACGTTGACGTCTTCGCGCACCGTTCCCCGGCACCGCCCACCGGCTTGAATCCCGGCGCCTCAGAGGACTATGAGGCGGGCGCCAACCGCCTGGGCCACGGGGCGGGAGGCAGCGCGGGAGCGGGGCGTTGAGGGACCGGCCTAGCGTGGGGCTCTGGCCTTGCGTCTTCCGACCGAATAGCCGCTCCTGAGCCCGGTGCGCGGCTGCCGCCACCGCCTGGCCGTGGGTGCCGGAGCGGCCGGGCGGCGACCCAGGGTTCCTGGGTAGGCGCGGGCGGCGTCTCCGCGGCGGGCATCCCCCGAGGCCGCCCTCGGGCCATGATCGACTCGGTGAAGCTGCGCCGCGACAGCGCGGCGGACTTCTTCTCGCACTACGAGTACCTGTGCGCGCTGCAGGACTCGGTGCCGCTGCCAGCCGTACGCGCCTGTCTCCGGGAGGGCGTGCTGGACTTCAACGCCGACCGCCTCCGCGGGGTGGACTGGGCGCCTCTGCTGAGCACTCTCAAGATCAATAAAGACCTACCCTTGATCTCCATCAAGAGCTTCTTCCAGCCTTGGCTGGGGGACACAGGTTTGTAGTTCCCGCCTCCAGGGCCCCTCTGTCGGTGCGGTGAAGTGGGTATTTAGGTGGGTGCTGTCCATTGCCGGGGTATGTGTGCAATGGACGGGGTGTGCGGCCTGGAAACTCACCAACTAGGTGAGTGGCTTAAGGTCTCTGGGGCTTCAGTGTGCTCATCCGTAACATGGGCTTAATAACGAGACCCAGGTTATGTGCGCCTTTGCAAGGATTCCCTGCGCTGCTGATGCCTGCAGAGCTCTTAGCACAGTTTGGGACGTCATTAAACATTTGACAGATGTTACCTATTTTATTGAATGACTTTAATTTGCCTGATAGAGAACTAAGCAGGTAGGAAATTAATATATGTCAGCCTTTGTCTTCATTCGTTTTTTTTTTTTTTTTTTTTCCGAGACACAGTTTCACTCTGTCGCCCAGGCTGGATCCAGTGCAATGGCGGGATCTGGACTCACTGCCACCTCCGCCTCTTGGATTCAAGTGATTCTCCTGCCTCAGCCTCCCCAGTAGCTGGGATTACAGGCCCGCACCATCAGGCCCGTCTAATTTTTGTATTTTTAGTAGAAACGGGGTTTCAGCATGTTAGCCAGGCTGGTCTCGAACTCCTGTCCTCAGGTGATCCGCCCGCGTCGGCCTCCCAAAGTGCTGGGATTACAGGCGTGAGCCACCGCGCTCGGCCTGTCTTCGTTTTTTAAGGTATATATAAGAAGTTTGTAAAGTGCTTTACAAATAGAAGCTATTTGTAAATGTATGGTGGTATAATTAGGGATCCAGACTCTCTGATTATTCGGAAAATATGTTAGGTCAACCACGATATATGACAAAATGCTGTTATTCCTTTGAGCACTTAGCATTTTGTGCATAATGGAGGCAGCTTCCTATAGAGGCTAGCTAGGTAACAGAAGGGAACAGTTTGTGCGAAAGTATTGGAATTAGGAGAGAGTATGGCAAGCTGAGGTACAGGACTAGAATTTAGGGTTTGAGAAAGAGCAGAGAGTTGAGGCTGGAAACCTTGTGGGGGCGAAACAGGGAGGGTCCTTGTTTGTGTTGTTATGGGTTATCCTGAAGGTTTTGGGAAACCAATGTACGATGATGAGATGGAATTTCTAGAGGAGCTCACTCTAACCTCCATGTGGAAGGCACATTAAATTTGGAAGGATGGTGAATTGTTGTAATCTAATGGCCCAAATTAAGGTATAGAGAAGAAGGGCTGGGGTCGGGCACTGTGGCTCACGCCCGTAATCCCAGCACTTTGGGAGGCCAAGGCGGGTGGATCACCTGAGGTCAGGAGTTCGAGACCAGCCTGACCAACACGGCGAAACCCCATCTGTACTAAAAAAAAAAAAAAAAAATTAGCCGGGCGTGGTGGCTGGCTCCTGTAATCCCAGCTACTTGGGAAGCTGGGGCAGGAGAATCGCTTGAACCCAGAAGGTGGAGGTTGCAGTGAGTTGAGATTGCACCATTGCCCTCCAGCCTAGGCAACAAGAGCAAAACTCTGTCTCCAGAAAAAAAAAAAGAGAAGGGTTGGATTGGGCGTGGGAAGAGGATCTCAGTTTGTCTTTAATGTTTTAAGAGGGGTCTGTGGGGCATCCAAATGTGTCTGCTAGGCAGATCTGGAACCAAGATTTAGGCTTTGTGGGAGGACAGGTATTTGAAGGCATGGGAGGGACCTAGATTATCCACAAAGAAGATCCGGATAATTGTAGGTCTGAAAGGTGTTTTTTAAGTGGATATGGATGTGAATATGTTTATAAGCTGAGAGAAAGAGGGAGGATGTGTGATCTGGGACAGGAAATGATTGTTGATTTATTTAAAAACAACCTGACTGCTTGTTGTGTGCTCGGCCCTTTTCTAGGCTCTGGAGTTAGCACCATCTCTTCTGCAAGGACAGTTCAACACATCTGCTTCTGAAAATAAGTCAGATTATTCTCTACATCTCATTCAGGTGCAGGAACTGTTCTGTACCTCTGAATGGACTTAATCAAAATAATAACAGGAACCAAGTCAGGTGCAGTGGTTCACACTGTTAATCCTAACACTTTGCGAGGCCAGGAGTTTGTGACTGGCCTGGGCAACATAGTGAGACTCCTGTCTCTATAAAAAGTAAAAAATATTAGCTGGGCTTGGTGGATCTCTTGAGCCTGGGAGGTTGAGGCTGCAGTGAGCCATGATTTCGCCACTGTACTCCAGCGTGGGTAACAGAGTGAGACCCTATCCATGACCCTCCCCCCACAAAAAATAAACAAAAAAGGAACCAAAAGAAATTAAAGATGGGAGGGACGTCAGAGTCAAGGCTAGCCTACTAGATCTTGCCTAATATTTTGCACTGAATGTAAGAAAAAGGTATTACAGATCATTCTTGTCAAGATATTCTTCACTGAACCTTCTTTATCTCTTGCATCCAGTGGGTCTAGGTTGTAGATTTTAATCTACATGTTGCTTGTCCATCCTTAATTACATTTTGCCTGGACTATTGCAGAAGCTCCTAGCTAGTTTTGCTGCCCCTGAGCTTGGTTTTTCTTAGTTCATCTGCCTACTTTGGTTCAAGTGATCTTTCTAAAAGGAAAAGACATGCTTAAAGTGGCATGCCCACACAGGACCGGTGTGTATTGGTTGTTTGTGTTCTGCACAGAGGCACTGAAATCCCAGCTGTGTTCTGTTAAGCTTCCTGGGGTTGGTCTTGAGGAAAGGGAGCTTTTTCCCATTTCCTTTATCTCTTTGGTTCTCCAACAGTGAGGTACATTTTTCTGACCTGCTAGGGGTATCCTTAATGTGTCAGTGGTAGCCCTGGTCCTCATCACCTGTGAGGTAAAAGTCAACTCTCGCAGGCTTGCTTCTCCCTGCCTCTCTGTAAATTTCTGACTCTCCCTGCTACAGCTCTGGGCTTTAGTCAGATCCACCTGCAGTTTTCCAGTGCCCGGCAGGTGTCAGGGTTAGACGACTTTGCTCTTGCTGTTTCCTCTGGTTAATGCATCACCCACTCTGACCACATGTTGTTGTTCTCATCTTTCTAGATTCAGCTTCAGGATTATCTTGAAGCCATCCTTTCAGTGCAACTTCTTTGCTTCCATGAGAACCTCTATGTAGGTAGTTTGATGTATCTCATGTGGCTTGAGTTTACATGTGTCTGTCCTTAAGAGGCCTTTAAGGACATGGCTCATTTCTGTGTCTTAACACAGAGCAGATGTTTTTGAATGATACATTGTATGATTGAAGTCACTAACTTTCCTTTATCTTTGTTTTAGGTTCTGACATAAATAAATTTTGCAGAAGTCGTGTTCCTGCGATAAGATACAAAGATGTGACCTTCCAGTTGTGTAAAGCTCTTAAAGGCTGTTTAAGTATATCAAGTGTGCTAAGGAACCTGGAGCTAAATGGACTAATTCTGAGAGAGAGGGATTTAACTATTTTAGCAAAGGTAAGCTTTGTCTAATTTGGCCTGTAGACATTTGATAGTTGCTTTTGGAGGAAAAAAAACCTCAATAACATTTTTAACTTTTCCCCCTCATTAAAGGGATTGAATAAATCGACTTCTTTGGTGCACCTGTCTCTTGCAAATTGTCCAATTGGAGATGGAGGTTTAGAAAGTGAGTTTAAATCTCATTTAACTCTTGTCCTGTCAGGCCGGTTTCATGTTTCCCTACATGCTATGTTAATTCCCGTCTGTACCTTTATCTTACTACTGCCTTATGTGCTTGTTCAAACCTTGGTCCAGTCTCAAGTCTACCATGAAAGCTTGGCATGCTGAATATAATCTGAACTAACTTCACTTAAGTTTGTGTTAAACCACAGACCACACAGATATATACCATCTGGTATTCTCTGTTTTTTGTGTTTGTTCATATTTTGGAGTTTTTCTTCAAGAAATATTTATGGGAAGGGAATAGCAAGATGTAAAGAGGCCGGGCGTGGTGGCTCACGCCTGTAATCCCAGCACTTTGGGAGGCCGAGGCGGGTGGATCATGAGGTCAGGAGATCGAGACCATCCTGGCTAACATGGTGAAACCCGTCTCTACTAAAAAAATACAAAAAAAATTAGCCGGGCGTGGTGGCGGGCGCCTGTAGTCCCAGCCACTCGGGAGGCTGAAGCAGGAGAATGGCATGAGTCAGAGGTTGCAGTGAGCCGAGATCGCACCACTGCACTCCAGCCTGGGCGATAGAGCAAGACTCCATCTAAAAAGAAAAAAAAAAAAAAAGAGAAAAATCATCATTATTTTAAATAATTAAAACATATATACAATCAATTTTAATGCACTATGGTATGTTCCAAAATAGGAAATATAGGGAAAGTGCTGTATGGGAGCATATAAAAGGCTGGCAGACTCGGGGAAGGGGGTGGGGTGTTGGAAATATTCACAGAAGGTGACTGTTGGTTGGGATCCTGAAGTCTTGACCTGTGTTCATTGTGTGGAATAGTGGTCTGGAGGGGTAAGGAAGCCTGCATTTCAATTTGAGGGAGCAGAGAGTTTAAAGGCCTCTGTCTTCTATTGTTCTAGTACATTAGGTGCTCTAGTGTAGCACCTAATACAATTCTGGGTTTATAGTTGACACTGAATTGTTGGTTGATAACAGATTGAGGTCTGCTGTTGGAAATGAAAATAGGAAGAGTTTTGTGCTTTTTATGTTTTTCTTTCAGATGTCTCAAAAAGTATGTAGAACTGTACTGTGGTCGGGAGTAAGGTTGCAATATTCAGTCTATTCAATTTTGGCATCTAAATAGAATTGAGCTATTGCAATAAACTGGAGTAACACTTTGTTACTGACATATTTTAGAATGGACCAATCAGTTGCCTAGGTAGATTGTAGATAGTGATTTTAAGAATACAACTATAAAATAGAAAAGATACAAGAAGAGCAAATAAATCAAGATTGACTAGGTTGTATAGACTCTTTGTCTTATTGTATATGGTTTTTTTTCCATTTTAGTTATTTGTCAAGGTATAAAGAGCTCTATCACTCTTAAGACAGTCAACTTCACAGGATGTAATCTGACATGGCAGGGAGCAGATCACATGGCCAAGATCTTAAAGGTAACTTTATGTTCCAGCTTTTATGAAAATGTGTTATATGATTGCCACACATTAATATTTTGATACAAGACAGCAGTTATTTTTGTCTTTTGATACATACAGGGATTGCAGTTTTAGTTTTGTTTAAAGAATATGACCGATTTTCAGACTGGAGTTCTACCATTTAGTAAAAGTAGTATGCTTAATCTTAGAAATAGGAGATCTAAAACATAATAATTATGTTTTTCTGTAAATGTGGTTTGTAAAACAATAATTTTAAAGGTGTCTTAACAACTTTATAGTGGTTATTACTGTATTTAGGATAAAATTACATAATAATGTGACATGAAGCCTTTTTAGTAATTTGATGGTATAGACCAGGGGTAGTCAAACTATGGCCTGTGGACCAAATCTAGCCTGTGATCTGTTTTTGTAAATAAAGTTTTGAAACATAGTCATGCACATTTGTTTACATATTAACTATTGCTACACCCTACACTAGGAGAGTTGAGTCGCTGCAAAAGAAACTATATGACCCACAGAGCTGAAAATGTTTACTCTGGGGCCTCTACAGCCCAAGCCCACTCTCCCTGGGATAGATAATGGTTACACATGTGGATTCTGAAGCCAGACGGCCTAGGTTAAAACCCAAGCTCTCTCCCATTTAATAACTTGTGACCATGGGCAAATTACTTAACCTCTCTGTGCCTCACTTTTCTCATCCGTAAAATGTGTATAGTAAGAAAACCTGTGTCTGTCATTCTTAGGATTTAATGACCTAATGTGTATAAAATCGTGCCTGGCTATCTAAGTGTCTGCTGTTATTTCCTCTTATTGCTTTTATACAGTTATTATGAATAGCAAATGACACAATTTTCATTTGACAGAGTCATAGGAGCTTTGAATCTTCTGTTGTTTTAGAATGTAATAAGATTTTTTGTCTCTTAAAATCAGTGTTCCCTGTTACCAAAATTTACTTTATGGATATAGAGAAGTGATTATGTCTTTAAGATAGTACCTGTGGTTAAAACTCAAACCACCAATTTCCTAAGGCATATCAGCCTTGCTTTGTATATTCTAGGCCTCTAAATTTGGTGTGCATACCCTAAGAAATATGTGAGATCCCTTGGGTTAGGAGAAGAAAATATTAACCTCTATATTTTTATATCATTTAAAAAATATCTGTTGTTTCTGTTTGGTTTGTAATATACATAAAATATGTATGTAGAACTTCCTGTATATAGTTTATTAATAAATAACGTATATGTGTAATGTTTACCTGTGGGATGTCCAGTCAAGTGTTTAGAGACCACTAGAGGACAGAATGATATAGTTTAGAGGCTCGGCAATGATAGAATTTAGAACCAATACCTTCACTTGGCGTGTAAAGAAAATAAAATTCTTAGAAGTTAACTAAGTTGTCAGTTTACGTAAAGTAATCAGTAACAGGTCATTAGTGGTTAGGGTCACACAGCTAGTCAGTGGCAGACTAGGATCTGGGTCACTGGACTCCTCACTCAAAATCTACTATTTAATCAGTCTCTCAGATTAACCCACCTGGCATATGTACCTGGTGTGTGTGTAAAACTCTGATGTAATCAGCTGTACTTGGTTCCTTTTGGTGTTCCTATCTCTTTATTCAAGTGTATTAATTTCATCTTATTAAATCTTTAAAGTATCAGACCATGAGAAGGCATGAAGAAACCTGGGCTGAGAGTCTTCGCTATAGGAGACCTGATCTTGACTGTATGGCTGGCTTAAGACGTATCACATTGAATTGCAACACACTCATTGGTGACCTAGGTGCAAGTGCTTTTGCAGACTCTCTCAGTGAGGATTTATGGCTGAGAGGTAAGTTAAATGAACTTGTAAGATGGAAAATATTGAATTTTTTGATATTAAATATGCTTCACTCTTGGCACAGTAATGTTGTCCTAAGGTTTTTTAAAAAGCCTCTTTTTTCTAATAGGTTTTATTTTGCTTTTAAGCCTTTATGAAAGTTACATATATTCTTTATAGAAGATACCAAGTAACAAAAAAATAATACTACGTATAATCTCAATGCCTAGAGATAAACTGTTCATTTTGGTGTGTATACTTTCAGTATTGTTTTTTCCTGCACGTGTATTTGTGTGCTTAGAGTTACAAGAACAGAACTATAGTGCACTTACCATTTTGTAACCCAGCTTTTTTTATTTAATGATGTATCACATAGTACTCTATTACATTGAGGCACAATAGTTTAATTCCCTGCTATTTCATATTTAGACAGTTTATGCTTTTCCCCTATTATAAACAACTCTGTAGTAAACTCCTTATGTATACATCTCTGTGTCCATTGAAGTTACTTTTGTTTTTTGGAGACAGGGTCTTTCTCTGTTGCCCAGGCTGGAGTGCAGTGGCGTAATCATACCACACTGTAGCCTTAAACTCCTGGTTCAAGTGTCCTCCCACTTTACCCTCCTGAGTAGCTGGGACTACAGGTGCACACCACCACGCCAGGCTAATTTTTGTATTTTTGTGGAGACATGGTCTTGCTGTGTTGCCCAGGCTGGTCTCAAACTCCTGGGCTCAAACAGTTCTCTCGCCTTGGCCTCCCAAAAGTACTGGATTTCAGGCACGAGCCACTGCGCCCAGCCTGAATTTACTTCTGTAGGATAAATTACTAAAGTCAAGTAACTCAGTATAATGTATTTCTTAAAGACTTTTGATACATGTCACCAATTTGCCTTCCAGAAATGTTGTGCCATATTATAGTCTCATAAATGCTGGATTGTGTCTATTTTAAAACCTTAAACTTTACAGAAATGAGAACTCCCTGCTTTTTCTTTTTTAATGCAAATGGGATTGCTCTGTGAATTTTATCACTTTTTTCACTTAGTATAGCATATCTTAAATCAATAAGTTTACATTTACCATATCATTTTTAGTGCCTCTTCAGAGTTCCATTATGTTAATATGCCATAGAACACTTAGCTTATTCATTCCTATTAGATATATAAGCTATTTCCAATTTATCATTGTTATAAACAGTACTTTAATACGTGTCCTTGTCCGTGTCTCTTATTATTTCCTTCTGACAAATTCTTAGAAGGAGAGTTGCTGTGTTAACAGAGTCTGCACATTTTAAGGGTTTTTTAAAAATGTGACCTTCACCAATCTGATAGAAGCATGATCACATTTAATTGTTTTAGTTTATATTCATTTGATTTACTAGTGAGATTTACTGGCTATTTTTATTAATTTGGCTAGTTGGATAATTGCATCCTATGCTCATTCTTCTGCAGCAAGAGTTTGTAAAGGTTGTACCATATTCTGTCAGATCCATATATCTGACTTATTTCTGTGTGTCTTGTGGTGTCTTAGGGCTTCATAGAATATTCTATGATACTCTGTTATAGAAGCATATGACAATTATATTCTAGGTGACTTAAAGAGAAGACATTCATTTCTCACAGTTCTGGAGGCTGGGAAGCCCAAGATCCAGATGCCAGTAGATAGGTGTCAGGTGAGGGCATTCTCCCTAGCTTGTGGAAGACTTTTGTATCCTCAAATGGTGGTGAGAGAGAGCTGTAGTCTCTTTTTTTTTTTTCTTATAAGGACTTTAATCCGATTATGAGGGCTCCACTCTCAAGACCTCAACTAAACCTAACTACCTCTCAAAGGCCCCACTTCCTAATACTACTACCCTCTTGGGGGTTAGGGTTTCAATATGCATTTTTGGGGAATACAGACATGTAGTCCATAACATGAGGTTTTGAAAGACTTCAGTTATTTTAATGTAATGGTATACACAGTGCTTTTGCTCTGATGTAATCTTTTTTTATACCTGTACTTTTGTGATAATCCTTTTGGGTTTAAATGAGTAGATTGTTCAGCCTCAGTGTTACTAGTATTCATGAGCATTTGTTTAGTTCTTTGACCTTTTACTTGAGGGAGAGTTCGTGACCATCATTTTTTCCTGATAGGTTTTTAGTATATAATCTCTATTCACACATTCTTTGCATTCATTATTTCTATCCCCTTAGAGTTCTTTCTTTGTCATTTTTATTCTAAAACTAACAGTTCTTACCTTTTTCTATTTTCTTCTCCCTTTTTTAATGTCATTTTTTGAGAGTCACTTGGAGTTTGAATTTGAATTTGATGATGAATCTAGTGCAATTTCTGAGCTCCACCCAGTTTTTGCCTATGAGGTTTACACTGTCACTAGCATTCTTGTTAATTATGAACAGATATTCATCCTGTGATTTTTATATAGAGTTATTTTTCAACTCTGCAATTGTAAAATATGTTGGGTAATTTATTGGTGCTAAAGGGAGGGTAATCATGGCACATCTAAGAAGAGGGTTTCTTTTTTGTTTTGTGTGTGTGCATGTGGTTTTCTATTTTTTATTTTTTCGATACCCAAGATTGAAAACTGGCCATGAGTAGTCTTGGGCAGGAGTCTTCCAGGTGTGATTAAGTGGGAGTTGTCTGTATGTTAAATCTGTATAGAATTGGCCGGGAGAGGTGGCTCATGCCTGTAATCTCAGCACTTTGGGAGGCCGAGGCAGGCAGATCACGAGGTCAGGAGATCGAGACCATCCTGGCAAACATGGTGAAACCTTGTTTCTACTAAAAATACAGAAAAATCAGCCATGCGTGGTGGCGGGCACCTGTAGTCCCAGCTACTCGGGAGGCTGAGGCAGGAGAATGGCGTGAATGCGGGAGGCAGAGCTTGCAGTGAGCCGAGATAGCACCACTGCACTCCAGCCTGGGCAACAGAGTGAGACTCCATCTCAAAAAAAAAAAATCTGTATAGAATTAGCAAGTGACCTTTTGTCTTTTCTTGAAAGCTCTTGACCTGCAACAGTGCGGCCTCACCAATGAAGGAGCAAAGGCTTTGCTAGAGGCCCTTGAAACCAATACAACTCTGGTCGTTCTGGATATAAGAAAAAATCCACTCATTGGTATGTCACTACAATATTTTTTATTGACTAACAAATAACAAAACAAAAATAATTTCTCATGTATTGACAGTTTCGAAAACATAATGTGTTTGCTTTCCTAATCTTACTCTTTTCTAATCTTGCACTTTCTTATGTTTATAGTAGATAATTTACTGATGAAAAGAGTTATACTTATATTGCTCTTGGCTGCTACTCTGAATAGAAGTGAACCTAGATAATAAATCTGCTTCCACCAAGTGCATTATTTTCTTCCTGTAGAACTTGTGAATTCTTGGAAATAGCATTTCATTCATTTGTTGGTTTGACAAGTAATTTTTGAATACTTCTATCTGCTAGATACTGGTTTAGGCACTAAACATGTAGCAGTAAACCAGCTAGACAAAGTCTTGGTCTCCTAGAGCTTACATTCTAGTGGGGGAGTTATATCAGAACTCAGATAGGTAATGTAATTTAGATAGTAGGAAGTGCAAAAATACATTAAGGTAAGAAGACAAATAGGGACAGGTGGGACTATATTAGATAGGTTTGTTAGGAGACAGCTTCACTAAAAAAGTGACATTTGAGCAGAGACCTGATTAGGAGAGGAACAAGCAATGAAAGATGCAGATAAAGTACATTCCAGTGATGAGGAAGCAATGAATATGTAGGTACATAGGTGGCAGGGTGGATGGAGTATTTAAGGAAAAGCAAGAAGGCCAACATGGTGGGAGCACTGAGTGAGGAAGAGCCTGGTATGCTACAAAGTCAGACAACCAGCCAGGGGCCTGATCTTGTAAGGTTTGAAGGTCATGGTAAGGACTTAGATAATTCTAAATGAGCTGAAAACCATGGGAGGATTTTGAGCTGGTAAGGGTTATATTCCAAGTAGTAATTCAATCAGATGACTTAGTGTGGAGAGTAGACTTGTAGGGAGCTATAAAAGGGAAAGAGGGAGACCAGTTAGGAGACTCACACTGATCCAAGTTAGAGACGGCTGTGGCTTTGCGTAGGGTGGAAGATTGGAGGTGGTAAAAAGTGGTTGAAGCAGGGTGTAGCTAACAAGACTTGTGGGGTATAAAGGAAATAATTTTGTTTTCAAGTCCTAGATGATTTTGCATACAACTGGGTGGTACTGTTTATAGAGAAAAGGAGGCTATGGAGAAGAGCAGCTTTGGGGATGCATCATGACTTTGATTTGTGTATATTTGGTGCCTTTTAGGCATCTAAGTGTCTGGACAGTGTCTAGGCTTTTGATTTCCTATTCAGAGGTATCTAAAGCTATTTTAGTTCCAAAGTGTTTACCTTTGATCTTAGCTGCTGCCAGAATAGTAGCCATAGGGACAATATGCATGTTGGCATACTTTATTTTGTTTTTGAGGAAGAAGTTAGAATAATCAAAGGGGGAAAAGATATATAATTACATTATATGGAATTCATATTTAATTTCATGGGAAAAGCAATAATTAGTTGGCTTTTGTTTTTAAATGGGAATAGCCGCTCATTGGGAAACAATTACTATAATTTCAATTTTTATTTTACTTTAGATCATTCTATGATGAAAGCAGTTATCAAAAAAGTTCTTCAGAATGGAAGCAGTGCTAAATCAGAGGTATATCATGTTTTATTTCTCTAGAAATAATTCTTATTTAATTGCTTTTCTTCTGGGATCTCACTATATTGCCCAATCTGGCCTCAAACTCCTGAGCTCAAGCGATCTTCCCCCTTCCCAGCTTCCTAGGTAGCTAGGATTCTAGGTATATACCACTGTACCCAGCTTTTTGTCTGTGTTTAATAAGATGAAACTATTAAGGCACTTTTCTGCCATCTTAAATTTACAGTCAAATCAAATGTCTTTTCTGTTTTTGTAAATACCATACGATTCTTTAATTTTGGGTCCCAGAACTGCTGATTGCAAACCTTTTATTAACTTAGAATATCTTAACAATTTCCATTTAAGATCTAACCCTCATAAATGATCTGTAACTGAAATGTAGTGTTTATTCTCTCTCTTTTAGTACCAGTGGATAACTTCTCCATCAGTGAAGGAACCATCCAAAACTGCTAAACAGAAAAAGAGAACTATAATTCTAGGAAGTGGTCACAAAGGAAAAGCTACTATTAGAATTGGTAACCTTTTTGGTCTTGGCTTTTTAATGCTACTAGTGTTCTAGTGTGTTAAAATCAAAATCTCTTCTCATTTATGATATTGACGGTAACAACCAATTTTGACTCTGTGCATATTATTAGGACTATAATTATTCTGATTATGAGAATTTATGGAATGTAGAAATAGTAAATGAATCATTAGGAAAGGGATGCTAGTGCTTCCATTTTAAAAATTACCCTTATTTGTTTTTCATACAACATTGATGATTTTAGATATGTTTTCTGATTGATGATTACTTCTCATACTTTGCAGTTGAAATTTGGGATGCACTTTGATGACAGTTTTAGCAGCAGGGCGTTTGTATGATTTTGTTGTTGTTGTTAATGAAAAATTATCCTTTCATACTATAGAAAGCAAAATCTCTTCCCAGTTCCGTTTTTTTCCTTTGTTTCCTCCTCCTTCCTTGCAAATTCTTACCCAAAGTTGTTGAATCAGGTAGCACCTTGCTTCTTTCAATGATGAAAAAACCTTAAATCGTATGTAATCCTTATAAAACAATACTGCAGGTTATTACCCAGAGATGGAACATTTTAGACAAACATTCCGTAAATGTTTGCTATTTATAGTTTATTTAATCTGCCAAATAACAGTCTAGAATTTTGAAATTGTCTATAATTTTGTGACGAAGAGTAATGAAAGAAAACTTTATAAACTCTTTATCAACTAATGACATAAATTTCACATTCTCCTGAATATATAAATTTGGTATAATCTAGTTCTACTGATATTTTCGTTTTGTTTTTAAAGAGTCTTTAACTTTTATTTTCTAGAACACATTATCTTTAGTCATAAGTAGCCTTTTTTTACTGATAAGAATGAGTGACAGTGGAATAAGTTAAGCCAAATCTAATATGAAAGTGACCTTTTCTTGTAAGTAACTTTGAATTTTGAAACAGTAAAACCATGAAGACTAACAGAGGAAACAAAATAATTTTTTTATGTTTATAATCTGCCAGTTTCCCAGAAAAAGGTTTGTGGTGACTTTATTTACATACCCTGTACATTACGATCACCAAACAATTAATACCAGATAATCTTTTATTTGGATGCTACTTGAAATTTTTAAAAGCTATCACTTGACAATATCACTGAACTGTATGCTTAAAAATGGCTAAGATATAAAACAATTTAACATAAAATATAAAACATTGGAAATACTGTAATTTTAGTAGCTAGTGGTATATAATTGGACATCATTGAATGAGAATTCAAAAAATCTTTTTTCTTAGCATGATTAAAGAAATTGGAAATGTGACTGAAGTTTACAAGCTCACTGAGCTATTTTAAGAGTAACTTTATTTCTTGGGCTTTTTTTGTATTTGCCTCAGTTATTTGGAGACACAGAGGTAAGCCAAATCAGTGTCTGGCTGTATATTTAATAGGTGTCAGTGAGTATAGGGGTTATATAATTTATGTAAATTATGTTACATTCATATTGCAATTACGTGTGCAGACAGAAGATAGGAAACTTCCACTATAATTTTTTTCATCATCTAACAAGATAAGTAAATTAGTTTGGTTTTAACTAAAATTTCTGTTTGTGGCTGGGCACGGTGGCTCACGCCTGTAATCCCAGCACTTTAGGAGGCCGAGGCGGGTGGATTGCCTAAACTCAGGAGTTGGAGACCAGCCTGGGCAACTTTACTAAAATACAAAAAATTAGCTGAGTGTGGCGGTGTGCACCTGTAATCCCAGCTTCTCGGGAGGCTGTGGCAGAAGAACTGCTTGAACCTGGGAGGTGGAGGTTGCAGTGAGCCAAGATTGTGCCACTACACTCCAGCCTGGGCGACAGAGTGAGACTCCTCCAAAAAAAAAAAAAATTATATTTGCATTACTTTCTACACACACCACAAACAATACACAGGAACATTTTTTTGGGATAATTATATTAATAACAGCATACAATGAACTGAGCTCCTATATATTTTAAGAGGTATATAAATTTGTCCAGAGAAATGGCACAACATGATGTGGTGATTATCAATAAGCTACACTATGGGAAATATTTGTCCTGTATTACCACATACACGTTCTTGTAGATGCTATCCTAAAGCTGCTAAAGTAGATCTTACATAGTAAAATAGATTGGAAGGATAAATATAACCATTTTAATAAACTTGTATTATTTGTTCTCAGCGATATCAGAAACATATATTTAAATGTGAACTTTAATATATAATTTGTTTTAAATAAAATATTAATAGGTCTAGCTTTTGCTACCAAATGTTTCATAAAAAGATACTTGACTCTTTAATACCGAAATGTAGGATAAGACTTTATGCTTCATTCTTTTATCCAATAGGTTTCATGTGTTTGTTTTGTATTCTATAAAAGCAAATGAACACTGAAGGTGGACAGACATACAGGCAGCAACATTGACTCACCTACTACCCAGCTACCTTCAGTCTTACAACTTGGATAGTTTTTACATTATAAAATTAGTCCAGCTACCTTCACTCTTACAACTTGGATAATTTTTCCATGATAAAATTAATCTCACATTGAAATTTTGGTCCAATTCAGAAGGTTCTGTTTGGTAGGAGTCATGGGTATATCTATGTTCTGTCCTTGAGATTCAGGAATGCCAAAAATATTCTGAGATTTAATAACAATATTTCTGCATAATGCATAATGAAATGTATCACATATAATCTTTCATTCTTTGGGTTACATGTTTTTTTTACTTTTTCATGCTCTGCATGTCTCATATATTAAAGTTATATTTTAGTTAAAGTGATAACTTGTTACTCTAGACAACTTATATTTTTAATTTTTATATATTTATTACATTTTTTACTTATATTTAAATATATTAAAAATATATTTATTCTTATATTTATTAGTGGCCTATGTAAAAAGATATTTACAAATTGATCCTGATTTAATGGCCTTGGTGTCATTGTCAGGTGCCCATTGGTATTCTTTTAAGAGTATGCACATGTGCTAATTAATCTGTAGACCTTTAGTGCATCTTAATTCTTTCTTTTTAACACTTTCTCAAGTAGGATTGGCTACAAAGAAACCTGTAAGTAGTGGCAGAAAACACTCCCTTGGTAAAGAATATGCGCCCGCACCTCTACCACCTGGTGTGTCTGGTTTCTTGCCATGGCGTACTGCAGAACGTGCAAAAAGGCACAGGTAGGGTATTTTTATTTCCTATCTTTTAGGATAAAAATGGGATTCAAAATTCTTTATTTTGGAGCTTCTATTATGTGAGAGTTCTCTGCTTATGTCTATAGGGTAAAAATGACTCATGTGGCTTCTGCCTCATGAATCCTTTAAGGAAGAAAAACAAAAAATAATCTTAAGTAGGGTTTCAAGTTATTAAGTGTCACAGCAAGCTGTATCCTTGTGGGAGTCCAGAGGAAACTGAAATTATCTCCAGTTGTGCAGGTGAGGAAAGGTTTCATTTAAAGCATGTGCAGTTAAACCAAGTCCTATAGGACAGAAGTAGGAATTTGGATATTTAAGATTGGGGAAAGGGCATTGTAAAGCATAGGAGAGTGTTGATTAGACTTAATCTAACTCAGCCAACTGGCCTAACTCATTTTAGTGAATCATATTTAGTGAATCAAACCAGATATAACTAGTTTTAGCCAGTTACCTAGGGGGTAGCTATTCATAGTAATTTTTGTCAGAAGAATGTTTTTAAAATGTTGTACTATAATTTTATGCTTAATAAATGAATTAGATTACTATAAATTATTTTCAAATGACTTTTAGTATTCAAAAAATTGGAGATTAACAATTACTTAAGAAGACAGAGAACTGATTTTAAATAGGACTGGAAATAGGTGCTATGTGAAATATCTGTTCAGTTGCTCAGATTAAATTGAATATGTATAATCTTTATTAGGCAACTGATGACTATACTTATTTTACAACTGGTAATGTGAATTATTATTGCATAAACTGTAGTGCTGAGGCCCTGGTCTTTACACTTACATTTAATAACTGCAGTTTCATGTCTTCTTGAGATACTTACTCATTTCAAGTCCCATCTTGGTCACAAGGAGTTCTGAATTAGAGAACAGTTAATATCACCAGTTAAAGAAGTTAAATTGGAAATCTGAACCATCCTGAACATAAGAACTACATGCATCTTCAGAGACTTATCCCAAAGCCATTCTGCTAAATTGTTTAATTTTCTCCATAGCAGAGTTTTCCAGGCCCTTATCTGGAGGTGATTTATTTCTATGCACAGTTATGTATGGATAGTCTACATAATACTAGCAAGTGTTATTGCCTAGTGTTAACTGGTGGTGTATTTACATCAAAATATAACTTAATTTATCAATATCTCTTTAGGGGTTTCCCATTAATCAAAACACGTGATATATATAATCAGTTGCAGGTACGTAGTTACCGTGTTTATAATATGTAGGGGGTTGGAATGGGAAGGGTGGAAAATCATTCTCTGTGCTCTTTAAACGGAATAGAGTTTTACAAAAACATTTCCCTCCCTGAAGTAAATTCATTTAAAATTTTCTGGGTTTTCCCAGTGCCACAGTATAATCGTGTGGATATGTCACACAATGGAGGCCTTGTGGTTTCATCTGTGTAGACAGGAAGTCATTTCTCTGGGTCTGCAAATTAGCTGTTGCCCCTAGTGAAACAAATTTGACCACCATTTCTCACCTGGCACATGGAGTTATCATAGTCAAGAATGTCCTTAAGTTTGAAAGAAATGTTTTTTGGGGATACATATTTTATATGTATATAAAAAAATATATAAATTATATGTATATATAAACATATATAAATTATATATATATAAATATGTATATAAATTATATATAAATGTATATAAAAATTCCAGATTCTAAATCCACAATAAAGCAACCAGTCCTAAAGCCTCTGCTTTCTCAGAATTTTTCTTCCTCCCTTGTCAGGATCAAACACATTCCCTGTCATTCTGCATCATGGTATTAGAGCAAGCCAATTCTTTCAGAGTATCAGGTTTTCCTTTTCAATTGTTTTTAGAGACTGTAATTTCTCTGTAAAAGGTAGCACTACTGAGATGAAGGAGCACCTGTGTGTCGGTACTGCTCCTTGCATAGCCAAAAGTATGGGCGTGCATCTCATTCTACCATCTAGGATTTTCAGGTACTGCAGGATTTATGCTTGTAGTAGATACTGCATTCTCGTGACTTCTCTTCTGTACAGTTATGTATCCCGGCACTCTTCTTTTTGATCTGTGGACTTTTATGGGATTGTGACACAGTCAATTTTGAAATATTTGGAAATACCATATTGAACAACATTCCAGTGGCATTGAAACTTGACAGGAGAATTGCATTGTTATTACAGTAGTTTTTGGCTTAAGAATGAGGAAAAGATGAGGTTTTTGATGTCTCAGTTTTAGTTGTGTGCATGTATTTGGTTAAATTTTTTTTTTAATTCTAGTTTTTGTTTTATTTTGTAGAGACAGGGTCTTGCTATGTTGCCCAGTCTGGTCTTGAACTCCTGACTTCAAGCAGTCCTCCTGCCTTGGCCTCCCATAGTACTGGGATTACAGACCATTCTAGTGTTTATTATTCACAGTTTAAATTATTCTTCCTTCTTTGTGAGGCCTCCACTGATGGATTTTTTCTCCTAAAAATCATACTTTCTTTAAGACTCTGTGTGTGATGGTAGAGAATAAATTTCTCATCTGCAGTTGATCTGAGAAAAAATGTTTACCCTGCCTCCTCACTTGGTTTATGTGAAAAAAGTGTAATAAAATAATATAGGTTCTTTTCAGAAAGATTTTATTTAAGAAAAAAAAATGGGCGATTCTAGTATTAATTATAAACCTTGTATGAGAGAATTATTTCAATGACATAGCAAGAATAGTGTCTTTTTACTTTGTTATTGATTGTGTTAGGCTAAGGAGTAGTGATAGATATTTATAGAGAATGACTTAACACTTCAGAAAGATCACTTTGATTAGATGTCCTTTAGTATTTGGTATTTGGTTTATATTATTATACAATCTTGTTCTCTTTCTTTAAGCAATCAGGTTTTCCTGTGACTGTGACAGTAGAGAGTCCTTCATCCTCTGAAATTGAAGAGGTTGATGATTCTTCAGAGAGTGTTCATGAAGTGCCTGAGAAAACTAGCATAAAACAAGAAGCATTACAGGTACAAAGCTATCACTTTAAAGATATGGAGAAGATTATTTCAAACTCTAATTAGTTTCTGGTGAAAGCTTGATTATGCACTGGACAGCTTGCATAGGAATCCTTCTATCTCATATCCTTTGAATGGTTCTTTATCATAGAACAAGGTAAAAGGAAGGACATCTGTACTCTAAGAAATAAAAATTGAAAGATGTCATCAGTAATCTATTTTCCTTTCCTTAGAATTATAGAATATTAGATTTAGGGAAGGCCTTAATGATCATAAGATAAACTTGATGAAATTAAGCCCTGAATGAATGTAACCAGCTGATTTAGGGCTCTTTGGGAGGCCTTAACTTTTTTGTGTGTGCTAGGAAGTCCACAATTAATTTTTTAGAATTAATATAGTTTTCTTTTATATGAAACTTAGAAATATAGAAATAAGTATCCCTTTTTTATATACTTACATTTAGCTTATAAACAACAGGAATTTATGTCTCTCAGTTCTGGAGGCAGGGGAGTCTAAGACCAAGGCTCCGGCAGGTTTGATGTCTGGCGAGGGCCTGCTTTCCGGTTCATAGATGGCTGTTCACCATGTCCTCACATGGTGGAAGGGCACTTACCTATTTTTATGTGACTATGGAAATCACTTTTTGATTTTCAAAAAAATGAAGCCTGATTTTCGTTTTTAATATTAAAATTAATAGTATTTATATAGAAAAATTTTAAGATAATTATAAAAATGATAGAACATTAGAGGGAAAAATTTATAGATAATGTAGAATTGTCCCTATTATAAATGAGCACCTATAGTTTGTAGCACCTGAGTGGTTTATTGCTAAGTTCCAGAGGAAAAACAAAATCCTAGAATGTCTCATTCATGTTCATTATTGTTTTAAATGTGTTGTATTTATTTTCTTCACCGGGGATTAGGAAATTGTATTCTAAAAATGATTATAGCCACTGAGGAGACCAAGAAGGTTACGAAATACAACTTGGGAATTTCTGATTCAAGAGGCACTGAGAATTTTCTCAGTTCTTTTCTATTTTAAGAACTCTTTAAAATGATGTTATCAAAATTTCTAACACATGTAAGCCTACAATAATCAAGAGAATTAAAGAGATTTCAACATATTTTTGAAATACAGATGACAGATGGAAATGAGTATGAAACCGAATTAGTAGAACAGAGGAAAACCATTGCCTAGAATATGCACAGGGGAAGCCTACAGCTCAGAGGGAATCTAATCCCTACTCCAGAAACGGCTCCATACACAGATATGCATGTAGGAAAAAGGAGAAGGGAACTAGAAACGTGACTAACATAGAGGGAGCTCCTTGACAGTTTGTATGTGGAAGAGTTGACTCCCAGCCTTACCTGCACTCTCCTGAAATGAGATCATTTGACTTTGAAAAACAGTAAAGTAACTGGGGAGAACTAGGGTAGATAGTGTGGATTTTGCACCCTAGAAAAGGGTAGCTGAGGATATCCTGCCATACTGGCTACCCACTTCTTCATGCATAGGAAAAGCCAGTCATCAGCTCCCAGTGATCCTCCGCTCCCTTATTCTTAAATAGAAAATAACCATGATTCACCTGATAGTTGAATAAAACTCACAACATGACAAGGAAAATAAAAGATGAAAAATATGTCCTGGTAGGACGAGAGCTAATTAAGAGAACAAAAATAAGAAAAAACCCTACTTAACATCCTTAGGTTTGTTAAGTACAAGTATGAAAGATACAGTGCCTGTAAAAAAGAAATAGGGTGTTGGGAGGCTGAGGCTGGTGGATCACGAGGTCAGGAGCTTGAGACCGCCTAGTCAACATGGTGAAACCCTGTCTCTACAAAAAAAAAAAAAAAAAGCCAGGCGTGGTAGTGGGCGCCTGTAATCCCAGCTACTCGAGAGGCTGAGGCAGGAGAATGGCATGAACCCAGGAGGCAGCCCAGATAGTGCCACTGCACTCCAGCCTGGGCGACAGAGTGAGACTTCGTCTCAAAAAAAAAACAAGAAAAAAAGAAAGAAATAGGGTGTCGTTTAAAAAGGAATAGCAGAAAGCAAGGGTGGTCGCTTGGAAATTATAATGGTTGAAATAAATTCGGTAGGAATTAAGGAAATTTCTCAGTAGATAGAACAGAAGAAAGTTTGCCTTAGATAGACACATATAAGTAGACAGTCTTCATTGTAAAATTTCAAGATACTGAGAAAAGAAAGAAATTCCCAAGAGAAAAATACCAGTCACCTAAAAACAATAAAAACCAGACTTTATTATACTTCTCATCAGCTACCATGGATCCTGGAATTAGAAAGCTACCTCCAAAGTTTTAAAATAATTGTCAACCTGGAGTTTCCCATCCAGCCAAACTGTCAATCGTAAGTTGGGGCTGAATGGGACATTTTGGACCTCCTGCGCTATACTTTTTCTTGTTATTTGAAAACATAGTCCATCAAAATGAGGGTATAAACCAAGAAGGAAGATAATAGGATATCAGGGATCAGTGGTTTCAATGTGGAGAGCAGCGGGTCTGGATTTGAGAGGCTTCCACTGGTTGTGTGACTCAGAGCTTAAAAAAATCCTTGAAGCATATTACTATGTATTAGGCACTATTAGAAGGGAGGGGGAAAGAGAGAGAAGAAAAGAGGGAGGGAGGGAATCAAACTCCAGAGGAGGAGAAAGTTCTGTTGGCACGAAGATAAAGCAAATGAAACTGGCAGTTTTTGAGCTACCACTGATGTACAAAGGGGAAAAATTCCACTTGAGCTTGTCCGCCCTTTTCAGCGGCACAGCAGTCAGTGACCACCTATCTAATTTGTTGTACAAACCAGAACACTTTTTAATAGTGTAAGCAGGTGCTGTTAACACTATCAAGACAAGGGTTGTAAACTGGAACAGTCCAGGGCAACTTAAAATACGCGGTCATGCTATACAAGGGCTGTGACACTGAAACTGTATAGAAGGCAGTGTAATCTGTATATACATGGAAATACAATATAACTCTGCAGTAGGCAGTATTAATTTAATCATGTAATGGGAATACTGCTGTGGTCTGCGGCTTTGATTATCAATTTGCATGTAATAGCAATAATAACTAACTTGTGTCACATTTAGCAGGTAATGGATACTGTTCTAAGTGTTTTGCTTATATTAATTCATTTGATCCTCAGAATAACCTGTGGTAGGTGTTACTACTATTAGTCCTACTTTTCAGAAAAGAAGCTAAATTTAAGTAAGCCCAAGCTGTACTTAAATTTAGAGTTGGATCAGGGATTTGAGCTTAAGCTTTCTGCCTGTTCTCTTAAACACTGATGTATCTGTCTCTCAAAAAACAAACAACTCAGCATATAAAACAGAATATAAATATTACTGATTTTAACAGTGTAAAAGCTAAGTTTGGAAGGTGGACACAGGTGGAAAGAAGGGACAAAAAAGTATGTTGTCCTTATTTTACAAAGCAGTGCATTGAGAGAGTTTAGAGTTGATAAAACAATTTAGATTTTTAAGTAATATATATCACTAGAAGTTGAAGAGATCATGACCAATGGAAAAACTAATGGTGATATAACTTTATTGAGAGGAGTGGCTATAAGTAAGCAAATAAGTAAGAATGAACCAAACTTTTATTTAGTAAAGCAGAAAGTTAGTAAATAATGTCTGAAATTCGGTCATATAGTAGTTAAATAGTATGTTATTTAGAACTAGAGAAGGATTAAAAAGAAGAATGGTTGACTTAAACCTCCCACACACAAAAAGCCGAGTAGCCCATAAATATGGAAAAGTATTCAACCATATAGGTAATCAGAGAAAAATGAACTGAAATCCGTATGAGATGCAACTACACTCCTATCAGATTGGCAAAAAATAAAATTTTGTAGTGGCAGGTATTGTAGACCTGGAGTGTAATAAGAATCTTCCACCCTGCTTATATTGAAAGTATAAGTCAGCACACCTACTTTGGAAAGCATTTAGCATTGTCTGTCAATTGAAAGTATATAACTACCTTGTGACCCAACAAGTCATCCAAGGGTACATGCACCAGAAAAACAGGTGCAAAAGGGTCCACGTGCATTGTTTGTAATAGCCCAACCTGAAAACAACCTAAATGTCCATTAAGAATTAAAAATTAGATTGTATTTGTACAGTGAGAAAATTACAAAAGTAATAAAATTGAATGAACAAGAGCTACAGGCAACAACAGATGAATTGTAAGAACAATGTTGAAAGAAAGAAGATACAGAAGTCTGCATTCGCTATGATTTTCTTTGCATAAAGTTAGAAGTAGGCAAAACTAGATTGTTAGGGATGCATGCATATAAAGGAAATGATCATTAGGAAAATGAGGATGGTGTTTAATTCTGGGAGAAGGAGAGGGGCTTGTGATGAGTAGAAGATATGGGGGATTACAGAGATGCTGGCTGGTTGTACTTGCAAACTTGGGTTTATGGCTACATGAGTATTCCCTGATAGTGTGCTTTATGTATTTTTCAGTATGTTTAGCATATTTTGCAATAAAAAACCTGCTTAAAGAAATGGTTGCCTCTGGGAAACTGTATGTGTAAGTGAGGAGGAGACGATTAACTTCCGTTTTAAGCTCTTCGCTACTAATTCTATTTGTATGTTTATTCATTTTGCATTGATTGAACATACTCTATATACATCAGGCACTCTTCTTGGTTATATGTGTGTGTTAATTAATTTACTCCTTTCAAGAGCCCTGTGATACATGAATTTATCTCCATTTTATAGATGAGGAAATTAAGACCTAGAGTTATTGAACTTGCCCAAGGTTATACAGCTGATGGGTAAGGCCAGAACTTTGCCTCAGAGAATCTGAATTTCCAAAAAATAATCTAAACGAGAAATTTAAGTACTAATTAGTAAGCAAAGAAATGCACATTTAAGGAAGACAGTAACCTTTTATCTATTAGAGAAAAACATACATTCTGTCTTTAACACACACATAAATCTTATATTGGCAGGGATTTTCTCTATTCAGCATAAATAAATATTTATGAATAAATAAATATTCTCTATTTATTGGTTGTCTGCTTTGTGGTCGACACAGATGCTGGGGATAAACAATAAAATATACTACCTTCTCTTGAATATCTTGCACTTTAAGTGGGAAGGTAAGCCAACAGTTAGAGTAGAGGTGATATATCCAAGTGATAGACTGTTTCATTGCCAGGAGCAGTATAAAATCTTAGAAATCTTTCGAAAAGCAATTTGGATGTAAGTATTGCAAAGCTTTAAAAATGTTTATTTGCTTTGACCTAAAATTCCTTTTTTATTAATTTATTGCAAGAAAATTATTCTAAATATGGGAGAACAAAGCCTTCATGCTTAAAAGTGATTATTTTATCTTATAATGTTGAAAAGTTGAAAACAGTCTTGTTAGCCATAAAGGAATGATTACATGAACTAATAAGCTGGCTCAGTGGAATATTTTGTAGCCCACTAAAAAAGTCAAAGTTGGCCGGGCGTGGTGGCTCACGCCTGTAATCCTAGCACTTTGGGAGGCTGAGACAGGCAGATCACGAGGTCAGGAGATGGAGACCATCCTGGCTAACATGGTGAAACCCCGTCTTTACTCAAAATGCAAAAAATTAGCCAGGCGTGTTGGTGGGCACCTGTAGTCCTAGCTACTCGGGAGGCTGAGGCAGGAGAATGGCGTGAACCCGGGAGGTGGAGCTTGCAGTGAGCCGAGATCGGGCCACTGTACTCCAGCCTGGGCGACAGAGTGAGACTCCGTCTCAAGAAAAAAAAAAAAAAAAGTCAAAGTTATGAGTTCTCTGATTCAATGTTAAATGGAAGAATGTCTAACATAAAATTGGATATACAGTCTTCCCTCAGTTTACTCAGGTTATTATTCCATGACTCCATCCTCCAGCATATACCCAAATCCATGCATGCATGCTCAGGCCTCACAGTTGGCCTGTGGAACCAGGGTATATAAAAAAGTCAGCCCTCTGTATGAGGTTTTGCATAGGAGAATACTGTATTTTTTTTTTTTTTTTTTTTTGAGACGGAGTCTTGCTCTGTCGCCAGGCTGGAGTGCAGTGGCCCAGTCTCGGCTCACTGCAACCTCTGCCTCCTGGGTTCAAGTGAATCTCCTGCCTCAGCCTCCCGAGTAGCTGGGATTACAGGTGCGCACCACCACACCCAGCTAATTCTTATATTTTTTGTAGAGATGGGGTTTCACCATGTTGGCCTCTATCTCCTGACCTCATGATCCACCCGCCTCGGCCTCCCAAAGTGCTGGGATTACAGGTGTGAGCCACCGCGCCCAGCCAGAATACTGTTCTTGATCTGCATTTGGTTGAAAAAAATCTGCATATAATGAGCCTGCATACTTCAAGCCCTTGATGTTCAAGGGTTGTTGTACAGTATAAAATTTGATATTTCTGGGGTTGCATTCCAGAAAAAAAATCAACTCTTCCATGTATAGAAGGGAGGAACAGGAGCAGCTGTCAGGGAGGAAAATTACTACAACACTTTATCATTAGTCGTTTTTAAGTAGTGGAATGTTAAGTGATTTTACTTTCTAATTGTTTCGTTTCATATTTCCTTATTTTCTTTAAGGAACCTGAATTACTCTTCAAAGGAGTACTGAGGAGGGTGCTTTCATAAAAATGTAACATTATGTTCTCACTTCCTCCACTAGAGGGAGAAACAATTTCATGTAATTGTGCTTTGATGTGATTTTTAGAACTAGTTAGGAATGTAGGATTTTAGTCTTCTTTCTCCAGTTGTGATAAGTTTTTTGCTTATTTGCATGTTTGGTTAGAAGTTCTTTGATAACAGTTCTAAATATTGAAACCATTATGTAAACAGTAAGTAGAGGAATTTTGCAATTTGTTTTTCCTTTTTCCCATAAAAACTTGGTTGGCTTTAACTGATAATGAAGCATTAAAGAATTTGTAGTTATTAGGGCATTTACTGATTTTTCAAACGTGTTCTGAGTGTAAAAATACATGCCCTTTGAGAAAATTTTTGAAAATCGTGAAAAACATTGAGGGAAATAAAAACCACCTCTGCATGGTACACACACCTGGATATTTTGTAATTTGCCCTTTTATCTTAAAAAGGTATCAAAATATTTTGTCACATCATTGAATGCTCTTCCACATCAGAGAATCTTGCTTAGCTTATGGACCATCTCCCAAGAAAAACGACCTTCATTAACTCTGGTTAAGACCCGTATCATTGTTTTTAGTGGCTCCATAGAACATTTCATCATATGAATGTGCTTTTTTTTTTTTTAAACAATCACAATTTGGAGGCTTTTAGTTACAAACAGTCCTGTGACATTATGTTGGTAGATAAATCTTTGTCCGCATGTTTGGTGATTTCCTTAGGGTAAATTCCCAGACATAGAATTGGTAGTATTTACTGAAGATGACTCCAGAAAGTGGTACCAATTTCCTTTCCTAACGTAGGTATATAGTAGCGTTCCTTCCCTCACTCTGGAGGGAATTGGAGAATCTCCATCATGGCTAATTCCTTTTGTATTTCAATCTTTACCAGAAAGAGCCCTATCCCTTTTAATTGATTACTTGATTTTTAATTTGCTGTTACATAATTCAGGTGTGTTAAGTGTGTTACTAGGGCTTCCTATTATAATGGATCCACAAATAAGAATAGAATTTCTTTTTCATAGCCTTAATTTTTATTTCTGACTCAATAAACATATGTGTATGCCTTCTATGGTGAGCTATCACAAATTTATTTTGGAAAGAGTGGGATTTAAATCTGTAATGTGAGAATTTGATATGTTTTTGGTAATTAATTTCCCTAGCATGGTATGATATTATACAGGCAGTAGGTTGTAATCCTGATATCTGAGTTCACTTCTGGCTCTGTCCCTAAACACTTGGTAAGCTCAATAGCTGGAAGAGTTTTGGGGATCGTATTGGGAATTAATTACAATATTTACTTTATTACTTAATACTAGGAAAAACTGGAGGAGTGCCTAAAGCAGTTAAAGGAGGAAAGAGTGATAAGGCTTAAGGCTGATAAGCGAGTCAGTGAGGTAAATAAAAGTTTTCTTACCTTTTGAGAGTTTTTTTGTTTTGGTTTTGGTTTAACTTTAACTCATACATACATACATACATTTTATAAACTTTAAAGTGAGACAATACAGTATATTGCAAATTGGTCACACTATGTTAATGTTTGTATTTACTTATATTTGGTGATCGTGTGATCTGTATTCCAAAAAGCATGTTTTTTAAAAATGTAAAACTTGTGGTTTGTTTTCTTTTCCTGTGCTTTTATATGACTGGAGCTTATTTTCTGTTCATGATGCATCAATTCAAGAATGCATTTATTAGGCTTATACTGATATACAATTACATAAAAGATGGGGATGAGACTATCTACTGATGGTGAATTAGGAAAATGAATAAATAAGGTAAAAGATAATGGAAAACTGGTAAGAATGCAATGAAAGATAAAAATCTATACCATGAGGACTAAATTAGATGAATGTGCATAAGAGCACGGCATAAGCTAGAACGTTCTATGTAACTATATTATTACAAAGCAAGTTTAAGGAGGAATTTTTGAAAGTATATGCATTGGTTTGTAAGACAGTTAATCATTCAGTAAAGGTTGAGCACCTGATTGTATAAGGCAAAAGGTGCATTGTGAACACAATGGCCTTTCTGAGAAATACCAGAGTTAGACTTATGTGTAGTATTAGATAAATAGATGATAAAGGGGGATGGTGTGCAGGAGAGTACATATTTTCAAGAAGCAAAGGGGGAATATTGGTAATTGTACAGATAGTAAATTGGGTCTGAAATAGGACTTTTAAGTTTATTAAGCATTTTACTGGCAAAAATTAGTTCTTAACAGCCAGATTGTAATATGCTTACTCTTTATTTCGTTGTCTAATTTGAGGGAAACCTTACACAGCTAATTTTTAAATATAGAATGATCCAGGTATGTATTTAACCTGTTAGAAATGTGATCTTTTTGAAAGATCATTAATGAAATACTGTTTATATTGTTTATGTAGGAGGTTTTGCCACTTATCTCCGGGTTTTGATTGTTATGTAATATGGTCTGTCTTTACTGGTGGAGAGTTAGATTAACTGCAAATTAATTACATTTTTAAAATGTTTTATTTTAGTTTCATAAAAACTATTTTGGTGATAATGAGAGAAAATGATGTCACACATTTTCAATCTTCTTTTATAGCTGGAACATGAAAATGCCCAGTTAAGAAATATAAATTTCTCTCTGTCTGAAGCCCTTCATGCACAGTCATTGACAAATATGATCCTGGATGATGAAGGTGTTTTGGGCAGCATTGAGAATTCTTTTCAGAAGTTTCATGCTTTTTTGGATCTCCTTAAAGATGCTGGGTTAGTTACTTTCTCCCTATGACATTTGTCCCTCCATTACTTTAATGGTGTTTTGCTGAGGAACTTGAGCAATTTTTATAGCTTCCTGAAGTCATATTTACTGTGTAATTATAAGTAATACACTTGATTTTTTAAATGTGGAATTAATTTTAAAAGAAATGCGAAATGACAAACCTGCCCAATATGAAAGAGTAAACTTACCTGGCTTGGTGGTTTGCACCTGTAATCCCAGCTACTTGGGAGGCTGAGGCAGGAGGATCACTTGAGCCCAGGAATTCAAGGTTAGCCTGAGCAACATAGCAAGACCCCATCTCTTAAGAAGAAAAAAAAGAGTAAGCTGTAGATAGAGTAATTGGTTAAGGGTAATTCTTGTTAAAGACTAAATTGAAGGTAGTTTTAATTGAAAGTATTCAGGAATGTATAGGAATTTTTATTTTATTCACTTTGCTTGTTAAATAAATTTGAATTAAAATTAACTTTGTCTTAGACATTAAAATTGTTATTAATCTGCAGGGTAGATATAGATAGAGATATGGATCAGTGGTCCTCAACCAAGAATGATTTTGCTAAAAGAAGATACTGAAAGAGAGTTGGAGGTAGATAATTGATAGAGTTATGTTTTGTAGGTGAACGGTTTGGTGAGGGAAGGAACAAACATTCTTGAGGACTGGAGGAAAGGTGGTATAGATGTGTGGGGATGAAGGTGAGAGGCAGTAGGTATGCGGTAGAAAATGCAGCTTCTACTGAGACAGTATGTAAAATAGGGAATAAGTGAGGAAATGAAGTCAAGAGGTATCTAATACATTGTTGGGGGAAGAAACAGTGCTTAAAGGATTGTACGATCTGATTTGGTTCATCTCAGAGGATAAATGTGGGAAGGTCTGAGAAACTGGGAGGGATGGGGGTGTGGTCTGGAGTAGGATAATGGGTTTTAAGATTTTAGAAGTATTTCATGGTCATAGGTTCCGGGAAATGTAAGCTGTTCTTATGTGATTCTAGTAATCCTTGCCTTTTCCTCCTTTTCTTCTCTTGACCAGGCTTGGGCAGCTTGCCACAATGGCTGGGATAGATCAGTCAGATTTTCAATTACTAGGTCATCCCCAGATGACTTCTACTGTTAGTAATCCACCTAAAGAAGAAAAGAAGGCACTTGAAGATGAAAGACCAGAACCAAAGCAGAATGCCCTAGGGCAGATGCAAAATATCCAGGTAAGTGAATAGAACAGAACTTAGTGATTCTACAAGTGATTAGCAAAAAAGGGAATTACTAAGAGAGAAAAGAATAATGATCTGTTCACATGCTCGGGGACCAGAAGCATCTTTGGGGTCCTTTCCAAGACTGAGATTAGTAAGTTTGTACCCATTTCATTATATTGTATTGTTGTAAATAAAAAATAAGAAAGTTATTTTGAAAATTTATGATTTAAAGTAGACTATCCTCAGTGAAGAAATGAAAGAGAAGAGAAAATATTTTAAATTTTAAATTTTATAAATGTCTATTCTATTCATATTTCATCTAGGTTTCTATTTGTATGCAGTCAGCTTACAATGAAGGAACACTAATGAAGGTACAAGTACTGATATAGATAATTTTTCAGAATAAGTAATTCATATATAACAAACAGGCAGTATATTATACGCATCATCTAGTTATGGGAATGGGAGGGGCAAACTTGTCTGCCACAGGAATCCCCTGCTGCTTTTCCTCTGGCCTTACTTGGAGCCCCCATCTCCCACCTCAGCCAGTCTCAGACTGGTCTTGGCAACTGACGACTTGAAAACTCAGTCTGCTTACAAATTGGATACTGCTCACATGTGCATAGAGGATAGGAAAGAAATTAATTTTCTTATAGAATAAGGTTCTATTTTTTTTAATGAGGGAGTGATAAATTAGTAATAATTACGCAAAACACAAAAGTCTGAAAATGTGCTGGACCTACCTCTGGATATAGCTAAGTTGAGTTGGCAATCACTTGGCAAGATATAATTAGGGGGAAAATGACCTGGAAATCTTCTAAGATCACAGAATAACATTGATGTTTTGAACTTGACTTTTTAATGGTTGGCTTTGTTTGTCACTAAATTTTTGTTTTGTTTTTCCTTCTAGTTTCAGAAAATTACAGGTGATGCTAGAATTCCTTTGCCTCTCGACTCCTTCCCTGTCCCAGTTTCTACTCCAGAGACCTTAGGAACTTCCAGCGACAACCTGGGAGTCCCAGCCACTGAGCAGCGGCAGGAGTCTTTTGAGGGATTCATTGCTAGAATGTGTTCTCCTTTACCAGATGCGACTTCTGGAACTGGAAGTCAAAAAAAAGAAGAGGAGTTGTCCAGAAATAGCAGATCTTCTTCAGAGAAAAAGACCAAAACAGGTGAATATACCAAAAAACACTCTGATAAGAAACACCCTGGAAAGGACCTGCATTCCTGCTCTGACTCTCCTGAAAACCGGAAAAGCAAAGGAACTGGGGAAACTAGTTCTTTGGTTAATGAATCAATTAAAAGTAGGTCTTTGAAAAAATCTGTTTCTGTCAAGAAAGAAAATAGAATAGTGACTGTTTCATCCAAGACAAATGAAAGTAAATCCAGTCCACTAGAACATTCTGAAAGTGATATTCTTGGATCTGATTTTGAATTTCAAGAAAGCATCCATTCTCTATCACGCCTTTCATACGACTAAATCTTTTGAAATTATGTTTTTGCCTTTAAATTTTAATAAATTTTCTTATGTTTTTATTATGGCATATGGTGTCTTAAAATATAGGATTGGAAGCCACTAAAGGAAGATTTCTCTGTACTTTTTATTATAATGAAATTTTTGGTCTATTTTTCCCTTTGATAGTTTACAACATTCATTCAGCAATTGTTTACTGAGGGGCTAGTATGTATAACATCATTCTGGGTGCTATGGCTTTCAGCAGTGGACAAAACAAAGCCTTTACTCTCAAGGAACTAATATTCTGTGGAGGGAGAAAACAGAACAACAAAGGAGAATATGATGAATAGAAAGGGATGGGAGTGAATAAATGGAATAATTTTACCATTTGGTTAAATGTGGAAATAAATATATATCACATGGCCAGAAGCCATTGACATATTCTAATATATAACCAGAGCAGTAAACATGTCTAGATGCTTAAGCATGTTCATGGATTATAGCAACCCTATAAGATAGGGAACCCCATCTTATAGATGGGGAGCCTCAGGAGACAGATTATGTGAATTGCCCAAAGTTGCACAGCTGTAAATAGGTGGTAGGGCTGGGATCTGAACCAGAACCCATACTTTAAGCAGCTATCGTGTTTCACTGTTAAGAGAGGAACCACTTAAGGAAGATTCCAAGAAAAAAGCCAATGAACACTATAAGTAGAAAAGAGTGGCGCTATCAGAAAGCACACCTAGGTTGAATTTTTTAAAGGCAGAGTTAGTAAGAGTATGGACATAAAACTTTGGAGTAAATATCCCTCCCTGGTAAAATATGCATAGGTAAGTCCTTTCCTACAACCAGACTATGACTTGAGAGATGAGATGAGAGAAAAGCTGGAGTGTTGGATTTCTTCTGGATGGTCTTGCCTGATTGTTATCAAAAGGGCTACTACATTACTACTGAGTTCATTAATCATGGATTGACTGTTACGGGAATGAAACAATGAACAAGATGTAATCTTGGCCTTTTAACAGTCTGGTGAAGGGGAGACACACAAGCAGATGGTGTAATACTGTATATTACGTTCTATGGTGGGAATGCTGAGGGAGTTTAGTCAGTGTTTGGGGAAAAAGGAGGAGAGCAGTGGGGCCAAGAAAGGCCAACTAAAGAGACCAAAGGTCATGTTAATTTCTAAGCTAAGTCTTAAAGGACGAATTAGAGGTTGGTGAATAAGGAGATGAAGGGGAAGGATACTCAGGGCAGAGGGAATAGCATGAGTAGAAGTACAGAGCCGTAAGTGTGAGTATGTGTGTTTGAGGAACCACAAACACAAGTAATTGAGAGTTACCGAAATGTCATCAGGCACTGGCAGATGTCGCTCAAGGAGGCAGCTAGGGGAATGAGATTGGGTTTTATAATCCACATTGTATGGAGCTGGTTCTTTTTCTTCAGTAAATAATGAGCTAGTAAAGAATGGAAATGATATGCTCAGGCTTGCATTTAAGATCATTAGCTTTAGGCTGATACATTAAAAAAGTATGGAGATCAGTTTTCCACACTCTTCTGAAGAGCGTTTGTCTTTGATTTGTAAATGGGACTTATCTTCCCACATCTCCTACTGAAATAATTTTTAGACCAACATAAAGGAGACTCATGCATAAATAGAATTAGGCAGGTTTCTTTCTTTTTTTTTTTTTTCGTCTTTTGAGACGGAGTTTTGCTCTGTTGCCCAGGCTGGAGTGCAGTGGCGCAATGTTGGCTCACTGCAAGCTCCGCCTCAGCCTCCTGAGTAGCTGGGACTACAGGCGCCCGCCACCATGCCCGGCTAATTTTTTGTATTTTTGGTGGAGACAGGGTTTCACCATGTTAGCCAGGATGGTATTGATCTCCTGACCTCGTGATCTGCCCGCCTCGGCCTCCCAAAGTGCTAGGATTACAGGCATGAGCCACCGTGCCCGGCCGCAGGTTTCTTTAGTAGTACTTCTCAGGGGTGCTAGAGGCTAATGTTCATTCTGACTCTTCAAGACAGGCATATGGTATGCAGCCCTTCTCAAATATACTTGTTTATAGAATCCTTTTTAAATAGGAGTGCCTAATAATTGGTGCCACGAAATGCCAGTTTGGTAACTTATGACTTAGCAAGAAGAGAAGGGGATCTAAAACAAGGTAGAGATGAAGGGAGGGAATAAGTTTTAATCTTATTTTGGCAGTTAAATAAGATTTGGTTATGGGAAATAAGGAAAAGGGCAGTGGGTGGACTTGTGTTTCTGTGACTAAGATTGGGTGGTGGTGTCATTGAGGCTGGGAATATGGGATAAAGAACTGCTTTGGAAAGAAGAGTTTAGTTTGGGACAGGTTGAATACATCACCTGTAAATTTCAGGAGGAAATGACTGGTAGATGATTGGATGTGCATGTGAAGACATGGAAATAAAGAATTTGAAAGTCATCAGCACATATAAGCAGTAGTTAAAATCGTAAAGTTGATGAGAACACAGAATTGTGGGGACTGTCAAAGTTTAAGTGCTAAGCAAAGAAAGGATTCTGAGAGAGACAAGTGATAAGAGTGTCAAGAAGGAAGAAGAATACAGTGTCACCTGGCAGAGAATAGGTGTCCACGGGATTTTGGCAGTTAGGTCCCAGGTGACCTTAATGAGAGCAATTCACTGAATTGGTTGGTGAAAATACCAGATTGCAGTAAATTGAGGGGCAGGAATACCCTGAGGGGACAATGAAGTTTGGGTGTAGGGCTACTCTTTGAAGGAGTTTGGATGGTAAGAGGAAATGGAGTTAGGTGAAGAGGAAGTTTTTAGAGTAAAAAAGACTTAAATGTTTGTAAGGTGAAAGGAAGGAACCAAGCAAAGAAGGAGAGGCTCATTTATGCAGCAGGATCTCAGACAAGGAGGGAACATGAGATACTTTAATGTTCTTTAGACTAAAAGAAACGGATCTGAACAGATGGGGATGTACATATTTGAATTCTTAATGAACTCGAGATGAGTGCAAAATGGTTAGATAAGTAACTTAGAGAATCTGGGAAAGAAATACGGATAAGAAAATAAAAGCAGGGATGGGGTCACATTGTAAAATATGTAAAAGTTATTGTAGAATTGGGGGATCCTGGAAAGTGTGAACAGAGACAAAAATGGGAAGAGCTGGAAATTAAATGAGTTTATACTTGATATCCCCAATTTTCTTTAACCATGGATTTTTACAAGACCTACACACATACACATAATTATAGTTTTAAAATTCTTCCATATTTTACATATATTTTATCAAACATTTAAAACCATAACATTAAGAATTATAAATGTGGATATTTTGCTGCTTAATATATACAATTTTAGCCCTGCAAATAATTGTTAAACTTTCAATATACCTGAAATAATATCATTTAATTTTGAAATATGATATTTTCATTTGGTTTAGAGAAAGGTACAAGTATGTTCCTTTACTGAGAAATTACTATGCACCTTTACTGAGTACTTACCATAACATATACAATCCATATGCAAACAGGACTTTTTTCAGAAAACAGTCAGATGTGATACTGTAGCAAAGAGCTTGTCATCCTGCCTTAAATTCACACACAGTTACTAGTGGTCAAAAATCATCACTCTTAACTTGCCCATCCAGTTCTATATCCAATAATGAGTTCGTCCAATTTCAAATGGGTATTTAGAGAATCTCTAATCTCAAGACAGTAACACTTGATTTTCAGAGGATAGGCATGATAGGAGATGATTGGTTTTTTGAAAAATTCTGATTATACACTACGTGCTGGAACGTTAACGTGGATGACTGAACACATTCTTTTACTTTTCTAGAATCCCATTGAAATGATTGGAGAAATATTAAAATAAAAATAATAGCAGAGTTGGAAAACCAGAAATTAAACAGCGTGGAATTTCTGGAAGATAAGAAGCAGATGATCTAAGTACCAGTTAATTAAAGGGTGGAACAGCTAAGCCATTCCACTCATCTTTGGAGCATCTAATTCTGGAGTTTGCCACCAGGCTAAGAAAGCGGCCATCTGAAGTGGGAGCTCTGACCCAAGAAATGCTGGGATCAGAGAATAAGGGAATTACCCAAAATGGCTATGAAGAGGAACTGAAGTTAAGCTGCCCACGTGATCGATCTCTGACTGTGATGATCTGCCACTTCCATTTATAATCACCATATAAGTGCCTGTAATCATTTGTGTTCACTGAAAGTGAACAAGAATTCCCATCTGGATGAAAAAACAATACTTCAAACTTTAATCTTAGGCCCTCATTTGTAAATATGGACAGCCAAAAATCATCAAATTTGAAGAAAACCAGTAACATAAAAGGAGGCATGAAATTAAAATTAACCTGTTGAAGAAGATAGTTACTAGGAGAAACATGAAATTTTTAAATTAATGAATCAAAATCTTCAGCAATTCATAAAGATAATTATGTTCATAAAGAATAGGATGCCATGAAAAAAATATTTAGCGGATTATTTAGCGGATTACTGGAAATTAAAAATTTGATTATAAAACTGAAACAGAAGATGGACTACACAGCAGAATGGATTCAGTTGAAGCTTAAATTTATGAAATGGAAGATATTAATTGGTATTAGACATTTCATCAGCAACTAAATTACTTAGAAAAAATCTTCCTCAGAGTAACTAACCAAAATGAACAATGAATCCATTAAAGTGTGGTTTTTTTTTTTTTTTGAATCAAGGTCTCACTCATGTCACCCAGGCTAGGGTGTAGTGATGGGATCACAGCTCATTGTAACTAGGAACCATTGGGCTTAAATGATCCTCCCACCTCAGCCTCCCAAGTAGCTGAAATGTACCACCATGCCTAAGTTTTAAAAAATTATTGTAGAGATGGGTTCTTTCTTTTCCTTTTTTCTTTTTCTTTTTTTTTTTTTTTTTTTGAGACGGAGTCTCGTTCTGTTGCCCAGGCTGGAGTGCAGTGGTGCCATGTCAGCCCATTGCAGCCTCCTTAATCTCAGCTCATTGCAACCATCAAGTGATCCTCCTGCCTCAGCCCCCCTAGTAACTGGGATTACAGGCACGCACCACTATGCCCGGCTAATTTTTGTATTTTTAGTAGAGATGGAGTTTCACCATGTTGGCCAGGCTGGTCTCAAACTCCTGACCTCAGGTGATTTTTTAGCGTTGTCAATATGTCCTGCATGTCTGCGAAACGCTTTTAAACTGCTTTTCAATATATACTATGGCACGCCAGTAAGCTTCACGTCTATATCCAGCAATAACAGAGGCCCGAAGTGGCAAGAGCACCCTGAGGTTGCGAGTTCTCGAACCCACCGACCCAAACAATGGGACAAACCCCTGTATCTTTACTAAAATACAAAATAGCTGGGCGTGTGCGCATGCCTGAAAATCCCACACTCTGAAAGACCTGAGGCATGAGAATCGCTGAACCAAGTGCTGAGGTTCCTGTGACGAGGACCATGGCTTGCAACCCATGCCTGGACAACAGGAGTGAAACTCCCGCTCAAAAAAAATAAAAAACCATCCGTAGTTCGTAAAAATACTTGGGTAATAGTAAAGTTTCTCTCTACAGGCTTCTTCCATGCTTTGGGCATCTTTGGTCACTGTTTCTTGACCAAAGTCCTCCCTATGTATTTAGTAACCACTTGACGTCTTTTCCCCCTTTCCAGTTTGGAAGTTTACTGGATTTCCATCGGCAAATTAAGCGAACTACTCCGGGACGTCATAAAACTCAGTTATCTTTCTCCTCCCATGGGTATCCTGAAATCCAAAATTTAATAGATTTAATCCATATCTAAGTGCTTACAGGATAATCCTAGTAAAACCAAAGGGCCGGAACCCAGGCCCTAAAATGGGAGACATGTCTAATCCATAGTCCTCTTGCCACCTGACTGCTAATTATAAAACAGGAAAATTGTAAAATACAACTACTAGCAAATATGTAGTGTCCCCTTTCATCCACCTGCATAATAATGAGTTAGGATTGACTATAGAACAGAAACTAACTCTGCTAACTAAGCCTAATAAAAAAAATAAATAAATGTGAAATACAAAAACCTGAGCAGGTCGACCTCGAAAAGTCAACATGAGCCTCTCTGAAAACAAAAAATTGGTAGACAGCAACGTACCAGTCCTCATTTCTACAGTGAAATGATCCCCGCAACCATTCCCTGCCCTTTATCAATTCATCGAAAATTCAGATCCAGAGCAACAGTTGCTGGGCCTGTTGGGGCTATCATATCTTACCCGCGCTCTTGGTCAGAAGGAGAGCGGATACCTGAATGAATATCACAAAACCAAATCCAACTACCATTGCCAAAGTCGGCATCTTGGTGCCCAAACAGAAAATTAAAATCTTTACCAAACAGAGGAAATACCTGCGGCAGGCCAAAACAACAGATTGTCCACCTCAGCAGCCTTACTTGGTCTTATCTTTCTTGATCAGCCAAAAACCAGAAAATCACACAACAACCAACATCACATACCACGAAAACAAATTTCTCCTAATTCCCACAACAATCCACCTCAATTGACTTGCCTCTCTTGTTCCTTCTGCTTTTAAAAATCCTTTCTATGCAATTTAAGTTCCTTTTGGCCCAGTTTTCACCAACATTTTTGCTACAAGAGGGTATTTAATAAAATATTCAGTGAGGCACCAGTCCTCCCCCATGCCTCTTATTGAATAAATATCAACACCAGTGTCCAGATAGAAAAGTTTTATCCACATTTATGAAAAAATTCTTTCAATTACTTGCATTATTTTAGTGGAGGAAAAATGAAAGTATTTTTGCTTAAGGCAGTGATCTACTTTTATTTTCAATTCCACCCTAAACATAATAGGTAATCCTTTCTCTAATAAGTGTTTCCTAGAAAGTAGAATAAAGTCCTTGCTGTTCCTAATCCTTAGAATGCCAACAGAATTCCTGGTAACTTGGTTTCTCGATTTAAAGTTCTTCTTTGAATCAGTAATTCAGTTTAATTTACAATGATTCTACTCAATCTAACAATACAAATACGTTCAAACACACCCCTTTTTATTAAACCTTGTTAAATTCATTTTGCAAAGAAAACGGTTGTTTCTCACAGACCTGAAATAATATAGGAAACAAACATTAAATACAGACATATCAAATCAAATACATACACCTCAACACAATTTCTTTTTAAAAAGCACTTATCTAGCAGATCAAAAATAACTTATCAATAATAAGATACAAAATATCAACCAAATAAACTCCCAAATCATGAAGCCATTGGTACTCAGAAGCAATCTTATTTATAATCCTTCTGTGCCGAAAAATCCGGAAATGTACATTCAAATAGCAGACCAAATCCAATTTACACATATACATCCAAGCCAATGGCCCCTAGTCTTAACTTCATGTCTCTCGCTCATGGTATACTGATTCATGTTTAATCCAAACAACTTAACAGAAATTAAACTTAAACAAAGGAAACTCAGAACAAATCAGTATCTGTTATTGACTTCAATGTTATCCCCTTTGGCAAATTCAATAGGGGGTTTAAGCTGAAAGAAAATTTAACCAAGAATCAATTTTAAATCTTTTTGCACCCACATCTAGTCCGGCTGTCCTAGCAAGTCATCGTAACCACCTATCCATCTTTTTGCTTTTTTGTTTTTTGAGATACGGGGAGCCTCTCGTTTCCACCACTGGAGTGGCAGTGGTGCATCTCGCTCAAGTGCAACCTCCACCGTTCCGGTTCCCAAGCGATCCCTCCTGTTTCAGCCATCCCAAGTACCTTGACACTGCGCATGCCAGCCCACGACCCAGCTAATTTTTATAGGTTGATAGAAAACGGGGGGTTTCCACCATTTGCCAGAAGGCTCCTCTGATCCGACCTCGCTCCTCTCCAAAATCGCCGGAACACGACACAGCTCCCACCCTGAGCGCCTAAACCTGCTCACTTCACATCACATATGGTTTAATAAATGGACGTAAGAGTGCAAAACGCTTTGAATAGTAAAGTCAGACTCAGTGAAAGTATAACAAGCACCATGCCAAATCAATAGCATACACTTCCTAACACAGGTAGGATCTGTCCTCACAAGCCCTTCTACCTCTCCATGACGACCCGCCCGCCCTACCGGCACGGCACGAAACCGCCAGAGGGTAATCAATCCTCAATTTGATCACAAACCAAATACTTCAAAAGGTACATATCTAAAAACAAAGCAGTGCACGAACCTTGCAGATGCCTGACACCATTCACAGTCCACAAATTCCCCACGCTCTTCTCTCTTTAGAAAACAGAGTCCTTGCCCGTTGCCCAGCGGAATGCATGCGCAACTCGGCTTTAACGCCACCCTCGACCTCCTCCAAACAATTCATCTGCCCACGCCCCTCCCAAGTGCCTCAATTAACAGGCCATGCACCACAACCCCCCCACCTATTTTTTGGATTTTATAAAGAGGAGGTTTTCACCATATCGCCAGGCTGGCCTCCAACTCCTGACCTCAAATAACTGCCTACCTCACTCGCCTAAAGTCATGGGGATTAACCCAGCATCACCACTGTGCCCCAGCCAAATCATTTCTAAGGTTATTTCATTAACACCCTACTTCCTTCATCTCCCTCAGATTGAACAAAGTAGATTGCTTCCTCCATTTCTTTTCTTGGTTCCTTCATCTTCACTTTTTTTTTTTTTTTTTTTTTTTTTTTTTGAGACAAAGTATTGCTTCTGTCCCCAGGCCGGATGCAGCTCGATCCAACATGGCTCATTGCCCACCTTGAACCCTGGACCCAAAAACCTCCACTCATCCTCCAAGTACTAGACTACAAAGGCACACAGGCCCTGCCTCCAAGCCACCCCTTGCCGCTAATAAAATTTTTTTTTTTTCATGAAAATGGTCTCACTGCTTAGCTGGTCCTCGAACTCTGCTCAGCAGTCTTCCCTGCCTAAAGCCTTCAAGTCTGGGATTACCCTTAACCATTAACCACCACACTGGGTTTGTATCACTTTTCAAATACAAGAATAAGCCTCAATTGTGTAGTTACCGGTCGCACGCATTGGCAAAATTTTTCTTTTTTCTCCAACTGTGGGCATCCTTAATCAACATTCAATAACCCCTTTGGCTTATGTCATAAAATTAAAGTGACTCTTAACCACATCTGTAGTTTATAGCAAATAAGTTCAAGCCTAACTTTTAGCAAAGCTATGTCCTCCATCCTAAAGGCAGTCCTAAAAGATCCGAATGAATGTGATTGCTCTGGCGAGCCTCTACTTTTCTCAGAGGGAAGCAGTAAAATGAGCAGGGTGGAAAGACCAGGTGCGCCACACTTGGAAACCAAAAAAAGAATCGCTTAACGCTCAGATTCAATAACCTGGGGGGGCCACATAAAACTTCCGTCTCTACAAAAATACGAAAAATTAGTCTGTGGTGGCACACACCATCATACCACCTACATTGAGTCAAAAGGTGGGAGGATGCTTAACCTGACAGGAGTTTCATGTGGTAGGCTGAAATTCGCAACACCGCACTCCAGCCGGGGGGGGGGGGCACAACAAACCTG